CACCGTCATGGAGCTGGGGCCCAGGAGGAAGCCAGTCTTGGTCTTTGGCACCGTCCAGTGAAATAACACCCACATGTTGGCTGCCAGGGAAGATGAGACGTGAAGCAGAGGTGTCCTCAGAGTAGCCGTATCAGCGTAACTTCTGACGGCGGTCCTGTTTACCGAAGCAATGCCTTCCTTAAACTGTACCAGGGTCAGCCAGGGGCTTTCTCCATAGTTTGATTCTCTTTGCTGAAGGCTTATTCCAGCCTGGAGTTGGTGGAAAGATGCCCTATAGAAACTTCTGCCATAATCGGTGTACAGGTTTCATTTGCATCTAATATTCACCCAGTGTTTGAAATCTTATTATTATGCCTCTTTATTGTATATGGTCTTTAATGAGGAAGAAACATCAGCACTGCCCTCACACAAATACAAACAATGGGGGCCAACCTTTAACTACTGTAGGCTCATTAGGAAGTTTGGAGTGACGGTGAGGAAGCTGTGACCCCTCTGACATTTCTGTCTGGACCTCGTGACCTCGCCTTTGCAGCACAGGAAGTGTCTCATTCATGCTGCTCGGTTATTACTCACTGTGCTCTTTACCATTTGGTGTGGCTTCTCGCGTGGGACTGGTAGAAATCTCCTGAACAGGTTTTTTTTGGACCATTTTAGTTTTAGTATCCCCGCTGCTCAGCTAACAGCTCAGTGAAGACAGTGACGATCAGGATCACCTTAATGCGACGGTATGTTCTGATGGGGGCGTTAACCTGAGAGTGATCGGTGATATTTTCAGTTGGCGTCTATGAAAATTACTGCATTGTTGTCATATTGTTTTGGAGTCTTCCTGCAGCAGCACAGTCTGTGACTTAATGTGATTTCACACCTACAGTTGTTTACTGAGTTGGGTTTTTTTAGCTTCTCACTTTTCCTTGTGGTTTCGGTTTCTGTTTAGGCAGAAGGAAACTCATCATTACAAACTACAGGTGGTTCAGGCGGTTTACTGGTGAGATGTTTGGGGCGAGAGAACCAAAGGAATTAGTCGGATTCTGACTTCTGTGCTTCTCTAGATCAGAAAATTAAATCATACTGGATTTTTTCTGGTTCGAAATTAGGCAAAATTGTCTGAGCAGAATTGGTATTCCTTTTAAGAATATATTTTGAAAGTTAGATGGTAATTAAAGGTAAACACCTTTTTTTTTTTACATTGGCCCCTTGATTTTACGTTATTACATCATGTTCTACTCACCCATATTAGTTTTGTGTCATTTGGAGCTGTTCCGAAGATATTCCGTTAGGTTATATCCAAGTAACGTCTTCCTATGGGCAACGACTTGAAGGCACAAACTAAACTGTTCATAATTTATCATTTATGGTACGCCAGCATTCATAACATGTAGGCGAATCACTGTCCCCCAGATAGCCACAGTTATCTTTTTTATATTTATATATTTTTAAAACAAAGCGGAGTGTGTATGACGTCATCCGCGTGCCGCACTGGAGTTGTGACAGGCAGCCCTGGCTACAGGCGGCTACGCTCTACCCGTATTATTCATTCAGCTAGCTAATCTGAATCGTTCAATTCCATTTCGAGAGCGAGATCATCTGTAGCACTAGACATCTTCCATGCATGTGAGTAAAACTAGCAGCAGTTCAGCGGACAGGATGAATGAACGGTAGCCGGCATGCGTGGATGACGTCATACACACTCCCCTGTGTTTAAAAAATATATAAATCTGAAAAATATAACTGCGGATGTCTGGGGGACAGTGATTCGCCTACATGTTATGAATGCTGGTTTACCATAAAGAATAAATTATGAACAGTTTAGTTTATGCCTTTAACTCGTTGCCCATAGGAAGACGTTACTTCGATTATAAAACGGAATATCTTCGGAACAGCTCCAAATGACACAAAACTCATATGGGTGAGTAGAACATGATGTTATAACGTAAAATCAAGGGGCAAATGTAAAAAAAAAAAACAGTGTTCCCCTTTATTGGGAAAAAAATGAAACAACACATGGCTGGGGTATATACTCTAGCATGTCCCGCAATGTAATATAAACCTAGTAAGGCATTTAATTCAAAGATGGATAAACAGTTGGTGGATGCGTCCGATTAAGATGGGATCACATTCACACCATAGATGAACTGTTCAGTCGAGCTGCATCTCTTCCAAATAGTCTTCAGATGTTGTTTCGAGTTGCACCTTACTGCAATTGCATGTTCACATTTCAAAAAGTTAAAAAACAATCCACTTGACTTTGTTTCCAAGTTTGAAGACGTTTCGCTTCCCATCCATCCAGCTTTTTCAATTCAAAATGTTTTATGCATTTTCACCTAAGGATTCAGAACGCATGAAAATTACAACATTTGAATTTTATTAATATAGACACGTTAGACATCTTTAGAAAACTTAGATTCTTCAAAATTCAACCACCAAGTTCATTTTATGGAAACAGCAAGCACCAAAGCACAATTAACACAGACATAGCAGCAAATTAAAATGTAAATATGAAAAAGAGCCACAACAAGTGACATTTTCAATTGAAAAAGCTGCCTGGGTGGGAAGCGAAATGTCTTCAAACTTGGAAACAAAGTCCAGTTGATTGTTTTTTATACTTTTTGTGGAATGACTAACCTTGATGACTGAGAATCTTCACCAGCATTTTCACATTTATACAAAAGAACTGCTCTAAGGGGAGAAACTGGCTGGTTAGTTTTAAACTAAATAAACACATTATGAGTGAAAACACCATAAAAAGGCAATCGGGCTGAAAACAAAGGTTCTATTCTGATGGACAGAACTGCAGCCTCTGGAGATGGCGTAAAGAGAACGCCCTAGTCAATCACAATTAAACATCACCATTTTTAACAGCTTTTTATTAAACTTTTGGAGTTGTATTACAACATCTAACTTCCAACGAGGATTATTAAAGTTTTTTCAATTTAAATTTAAGCTGACTGTGCCCCTGTCTTTCTTACCGTATGATCATGCTAAACTACTGCAATAGTGATGTTTAAACTCCTGTAATGATAGCTTTAAATTGCTGAAATATATTCCTTTTTAAACATTTAGATTTTCTCCTTTGTCATTTAAAAAGGATGTGATGCTACAACGTTAAAAACGCACCCCCCAAACTCCAGGCGTCATTTAGCCGTTGTTTTTTTAGGCTAAACTTGGTTGGTCCGTCATAGTTTTGATTCAGAAATAGTTGTTGAAAATTGGGCTGTGTTTGGTTGACCTGATTTTGTCCCAATTAAGTTCAATATCTTTTCAACGATCTGAAAATTACGGCTTTTCACCTTTCACTTTCAACCAATTGTAGACATTGTTTGGACGTTAATCATGTTGTCTTTTTAATGATTTTTTGACCAATTTTCGATCGATGGGTATGTCAGGATTTGAAGGATGTTTGATTACCATTTTCAATGAGTGTTAGGTTTTTTTGTGTTATATCTATGACTCAAAATGAAAATTTATGGAAATAATCGTTAAGTGAAGTATAGAAACTGTAAAACATGAAGCTCTAGCGAAAGTTCAATTGAAGAAACTCTGACTTACCTCACATCATCAGAAGCCGATCCGTCTCCGAAGCGAGCCAATCAGCTTTGAACTACTCCACCACGAAGCCCAATCAGCGTCCTGCTTCCACTTTATAAACTCCCTCAAATCTCACCACAGCCGCTATCCTGCAATCGCAATGTCGGATTTCGATCCAGACGACAATTCACCCACCTCCATCCCCTTCTCCGCCATCGCAGCCGAATCGTCTTCCATGACACGACTTCACCTCAACTTCATCAGAGAGTATTAATCCCAGTTGTCACCATCCCTCGTCTCATCGCATTGGTCCGGCAGAAGACCACCATGTTGAGCCCGGTTCTGCCAGAGGTTTCTTCCCAAAGGGGAGTTTTTCCTCTCCACTGTCGCTTCATGCTTGCTCATCATGGACAGTTCACGGTACCTGCATCACCGAGCAGGACCTCTATATCCCGAGTCTGAGTGAAGCCCCGGCGTCAGCTCCCTCAGTCTTCTAGTCCCACAATTCTGCCCAGCAGATCACCTTGTCAACCAGCTCGGATTAAACCACCACCAGTTTCAGGCCCGGGGGGATCATCCCTATTCACATTCATCTACTCATGCATGTTAAAGCATAATTCAGCATGAATGTTCCTGCCGAGGTCTGAGCGCCAAAGACTATACTTTCTTATCAATAAATTATTCTAATTATCTTTTCTCTCTGTGTGAGTTTTTCAGATTGAAATGCCTTTAGCTATCAGCAACCCACTTAGAGCAGTAATTATACCAAAATTGTAAGAAAATATATAAAAATTTAGCATTTAATTTATTGAATCTGTCAATATGCTCTATCCATATGCTCACTCACACTTTTTTCTTAAAATAAATGCATCTGTTCTTGGATTAAGGAGGTAAAAGAGACATTCTGCCAATGGATGAAGACAATTTACACTTAAAATAAGAAAACACTATTGCTTTGTCTTATTTTAAGTGCATATTATCTAATTATCTTAGTTTAAGAGTAAAATTACCCATTCCATTGGCAAACTTTCTCATTTACCTACTCAAATTAAGGGTGAATACACTTAATTAAGGACATTTTTACTTATTTTTAGATCGTTTTTGCAGTGCAGAACTCAAGTGGAAAACGTTTGGGTTCACCTAGTTTCATTCTTTAAAAAGTCTTCATTATGTAACCTGTGGCTACATAAAGAAGCCACATTAATTGATTAGTCAAACATATAATCGTGAGATTAATTGATTAGCAAAATAAATGTTAGTTGCAGCCCTAGTTTTATCTAAGCTGGATTGTATTCCAGGCTGCTGTAAACAATCGCTGCAGAGGAAGCCAGCTGTGAGCTCAGTTCCTTCTTTTTTCTTGCAGAAAAGAATGGTTTGCTTTTATTTTTGGATTGTTTTAGGAACTATAGAGGCATATATGTAGTCATTACTGACCGACTGACACCCAGGGTTATTTTTTCCTAATTGTCCTTTAGAAACTGGGCAGTGGAATGCAGTGTGAGGAAGGAACAGAATGGCTGCTGGAGCTGCTGATGGAGGTGCAGCTGCAGCAGTACTTCAAGAGGATCCGAGATGACCTCAACGTCACACGGCTCTCGCACTTTGACTACGTCAAGAATGAAGACTTGGAGAAAATCGGCATGGGTCGACCTGGTGAGGCAGAGGGATCTGTGCGTGGGACATCCCAGATGTTTGTTTGCATTAATATTGCAGCAGTTTAATCTCAGTTGAAACATTTTTGAAAAGTCCAACCTTTTATTCTAATAGTCAGACATGGCAAAAGTACTCACTTTCCGTACTTGAGTAAAAGTTCAGTTACTTGCGTTAAAAAATACTCTGGTAAAAGTGGAAGTACTGATTAAACTTCTTAACTCAAGTAAAAGTAACAAAGTACAGGCTTGTAAATTTACTTAAAGTATAAAAGTAAAAGTAGAAACCACTTTTTTCATGCCGTTGCCTACATTTTAAATGGATGTCTGCCAATAGGACTAGATCTCCGTTGTGTTCATTTTCAATCATCCCGTCGTCCATGCTACTATGCTAACGCCACAGCCACCAAGCTGCAATGATTTGCCGCTAATGAATGCCGCCGAATCTGTTGATTCATCTTGTAGTGGTGCGTCAAATGCAACTTAGATTCCCATCCAATTGGATTGAATTTGGTATTGATGACGTGAAAAATAATAACGGTAACTCCATTGAAATGATTCAAAACTAAAGTAATGAGCCAATTTTTTAAAATGTAAGGAGTAGAAAGTACAGATATTTGTGTAAAAATGTAAGGAGTAGAAGTAAAAAGTCGCCATAAAAATAAGTAGTAAAGTAAAAATATCAGAAAAATCTACTTCAGTAACGAAGTACAGTATTTGTACTTCGTTACTTCCCATCTCTGCTAATAGTTAAGAAGAAAGGGATTTAGGAAGAAAGTTTTTAATGTTAATAGTTTTTATATGCATTGCATTTTTTGTCAGTTTTAAATCTGATTGAATTAGAATAGTTCCTGGGTATTGATATAGAGTTTAAATTTTGGTATCATGTCAACCCAAGTTCATTGTCAAACCAAAATCCTAAATCACCAACCAGCTTCAATGGTGTGAATTTATTCATATTTTTTTGTTTTATATCAAAGTCTTCCACTTGTGTTGAGTAATGGCTCATTCTAATAAGAGCCCATTCTTCTATCACCATCATCCTAAATTTTATTTTCTAAGCCACGGTTGATAATGTGACACAATAGGAGGAGATTGTGAAGTGCCGAAGCCTCCGTCTGCGGCTGTGCTTCTGTGAAAGAGATCACAGCAACCATGTTCTAAATCCACTTACTGAAGCCCTCAGGGGCCTCTCTACACAGACTCCAGACTAATTAAACCCACTTCATTTCTCATGTGGACTTGCATCTCTCTTTCTTCTTTAGCTCATCGCTCACAAACCTTTTAACATCGACTCCTTTTCTCTGCCATCTTCGCTGCCTCTCGTACTCTTTTAACCTTCGCTTAACTTTTTGTTAATTCTGCTCATTTATGTTAAGTTATTCAGTGTTGGTTGAATTATTAAGTGATCTATTTACCCTCTCACTGATTATCGCTGTGCTCCATTTATTATTGATCCAGGCCAAAGACGTCTATGGGAGGCTGTAAAAAGGAGGAAAGCCAAGCGGAAAACCTGGATGAGCAAGGTGAGGGATGAGAATCGCCGCATTAAACACAAATATATATTTGATTTGACTGTCTGCTCTGTGCTATGCTTTGAATGTGAAACACAAACATCCATTTTTATAGACGCAAGTATACACACATTCAGAACTATCAGAACGAGAATTGTCTGACATGACTTATTTAAATTAAGGTGAAGGTAATATCTAAAAAGACAGACTCTGAAAGTCACCAAGCTAACTTAAGTCCTCCAGGAAAACCGTGGTAAACAAATAGGAGTGCTTGTTGGCAGTCTAGTCACAGGGTCTATAATTACACCTGTCTGTTTCCGCTCCTGGCACCATCCACACAGAGTCATCTGCTTCCTCAGCATGCTGTCTGAGTGTGTGTGTGTGTGTACCTGTCTAACCCTCAGAGTGAGGACCATTTTTTCAATTTCACCATCAAATTGAGGATCAGTTGTTGCAAAGTGAGGACATTTTGTTGGTCCTCACATGCTATTTTTCTAATGGTTAGGTTTAGGGCTAAAGTGTCGATTGGTTAGGGTTAGGGTAAGGTATGCATTGGTAATGGTTAGGTTTAGGGTTAATTTTAGGGTTAGGGCATAGAGAGGGTTGAAAATGACTGAAAATCAATGGGAGTCAACACATGGTCCACACTACGTATAGCAGAATGAGTAGGGGTGTGTGTGTGTGTGTGGGGGCGTGTGTGTGTGTGTGCTGCCCTGCCACAGTCAGAATCTTATGAATGCCCAGTCTCTTATTTGAAACCGACTGACCACACCGTGACCACAGGGTGGTGTTGTTTTTATAAAGGTCTGCTGCATTATGTCATGTCTGGTATTGCTGAAAATGTAACCAACGGCTACAGTGGGTCTGTTCAAGTTGTGACACTTGATTCATATGATTATAATGACGTAATATAAGATGCTCTACGATCATTTCCATGTCATTTGTGCTGTGGGAGTTACTCATAAGTACTCCTCCTCACTGAGCGCTTTTTTTTAACATTTTGTGAACACCAAAAGAATGACAAATATTGGTGTATTTTTGGAGACTGTTTTCATGGCTTTTAAGGATGTTTTCTCCAGAAAAAAACACACAGTGAAGTTTGGTTTGCATGTGTGTTCATCCAATACCCTAAAAATACAGAAAAATCTATTGCCTCTATCTATATTATTGAACATGAGTGGTGCTTCATAAACAAGACAGGAGGAAAAAGAACTACAGAAGTTTCAAGTAGGGTTTGGTTATGAAATAAGGATCTAAGCTCACATTAACTGTTCAATTTGTTATCCAATAATAAATTAAAATGTGACTCAACTATCAAGATATACGGTAATTGTCTGCTCGGCTTAAAATGCCTGAGAACGGGGGAAGAGACTTGCTTGAATGAAGTTTGTTGGCAACTATGTGAGTTTGGGTGACTTGTCAGAATATTTCTCTTTTTTTTATTGAGGAATTGACAAACTCAGAGAATATGATCATAGCGATCACTGAGATGTTTAATGAGAGAGATTATACTTTGTGTAGTTGGTGTCCCGAAGAAGCCTTTTTGATAGTTGTATGTTCAAAAGTAGTACCAGTATTTGTAGTATTTATATAAATGTTGTGGTATGCAGTTACAGCCATAAAGTTATCTTAGAAAAACTGCAAAGAAGTAAAGAAGAGTTTGTTTTAAATGCCACTTTTTTATTATTGCTATACTGCCACAAAATATCCTTATAAAGTCAATATCAGTCATTCCTGGGGGCAGGAGGAGACAGTCATAAAAAGCCTCATTTGGTTAAACGACAGAAATGTGGAGACGGTTACTCTGGTCAGATGAGACTTTCGATGTTTTTTGTTCACCTAGGGAATGTGTTTCATAGTTAAAAATGAAAACATTACCCCCACTTATAAACACGGTGGGGGGAGCATCATTATGGGACGAATGCTTTTCTTCATGGGATACAGGGACGCTGGTCAGAATTTTAAAGAAGATGGCTGCAGCTACAGGAAAGCAACTCTCCAAATCTCCCTAACTCTCCTACTATAGACAAGTAAAGACAGGCTGGATCCCATTAAACACTTCACTTACAGTTGAGCTTGAAAGTTTACATACCTATCCATTAAAGAAAATGAGAATTTCAATTCAATTTAGTTTACTTATATAGCGCCAAATTCACAACATGCCATCTCAAGGCACTTTACAGTTCAACCAGATCATACAGTCAAATTGGTACAAAGTTTTCTATCTAAGGAAAACCAGTTGATTGCATTGACTCATTGACTCAAATACAATCCCTCACACTAAGCATGCTTGTAGCGACAGTGGAGAGGAAAAGCTCCCTTTTAACAGGAAGAAACCTCCAGCAGAACCAGGCTCAGTGTGAGCGGCCATCTGCTGAGGCCGACTGGGGTTCAAGGAGACACAAGCAGAGACACAAAAGCAGCTGTAAAAGGCGGCCCCGTCCAGGGAACACTAGTAATTCAAAGAACATAAAGCTGAAAAAGTGATAATTAAAAAAAAATTACAAAATGATAATTTAGTGAAATAAAATATTCATTTTGAGTTTTTGTGTCTAAAAATTGTCTAAAAAAAAAAAAGGTCTCAGAAAAATTAAAGTGTCTTGCTTATTAACAGTGAGCCGACAAACCTGTTAACAGGTGCAGAAGTCATTTCCTGAACATTCCTGATGTCTGCGATTCCCTCAAAATTGTTGCTTGACAAATTTTAAAGAGGTCATAGAATACAAAACCGAGTTTACCTTGTCATAGATGAATAACGATAGTTCAGTGGTTGAAATGGACGCACAGAGAAGTTCAAACCCCATCAACGCCTCCTTTCTCTGCAAATCTCACAATTCTAAACTTAAAACATAAAACTGGCGAATCCAAACGAAGCCCTGAGTTGATGTAAACCCGGGGCTGTTGCCTTATTTGTTTCTGGCCTGTTTTTTTGTCACGCCCCGAAATTGACATACAGACCGGCCCACTGGTTCACTGGCCCAAGTTTTGAAGTGTTTTATAACCTCCTAACATCTGACTAACAGCCAGCTCACTGTTTAAATGGTTCCTTTGCCCTTTGAAGTTGTATCCAACAAGGATTTAATAAACTATAGCGCCTCGTTCTTCTTGATTCCAGGTGTTCAGTGGGAAGCGACCAGACGGAGAATTCCCTCAGCAGGGCCAGCTGGCCTCTTCGTTCCGCAAACTGTCCCTCACGCCTCCCCTCTGTCTGAGCGACGTGGTCCTGGACAATCAGTCGGAAGTCAGCGGCGGTCCGCTCGACGGGCAGCAGCAGGCCCTGACCTGCCTCATCCCGGAGAAGGACCTGACGCTGTTTGAGAAGCTTGGGGATGGCTCATTTGGCGTTGTGAAGAGAGGGGAGTGGCTGACACCTACAGGGAAAGCGGTGAGAAGACCTTCACTGCTTTATTGTGAGGGCTGTTATTTATTTATTTATTTGGGAATATCTCTGACCTTTCAGCTTAACGTGGCTGTAAAATGTCTAAAGACGGATGTCCTCAGTCAGCCTGATGCTCTGGAGGATTTCATCTGCGAGGTCAACGCCATGCACTCTCTGGACCACCAGAACCTCATCCGTCTCTACGGTGTGGTTCTCACACATCCAATGAAGATGGTAGTGGACACAAACTCAAGCAGACAGCAATACTTCATAACAAAAGATCAGTTTTTGTAATCTGCTGCTTTTTTTTCTCTGTTCGGTGTGCAGGTGACTGAGCTGGCTCCTTTGGGTTCTCTGCTGGATCGTCTGCGATGTGTTCATCCAAAAGGCCCGGTGCTGATCCACACTCTGTGTCAGTATGCTATTCAGGTAGCGAGCGGCATGGCTTACCTGGAGCAGAGACGGTTCATCCACAGGGACCTGGCTGCGAGGTAAGTTAACAAAAAAGGTTAGGAATAATTAGGAGGTTACGAGAAGACCTCATGAGTTTCTAAAGCTTTGAATCTAATAACTGGTATTTTTTTCTATTTCAACCCAGCCTATAATAAGTCGCTTTTCTCTGTTTGCTAAGGAATATCCTGCTCGCTGCAGCTAACAAAGTGAAAATCGGGGACTTTGGCCTGATGAGGGCGCTGCCTAACAACGATGAGCACTACGTCATGCAGGAGCATCGCAAGGTTCCCTTTGCGTGGTAGGTGAACGACATAAACCCTTAACGTTTCATCTTATGTTTGTGTATAATTTATAGATATTACACTACCTTTAGGCTCCTAAAAACATTTCTCTGATAAATCTCTCATAGCAGCGAAGGTGTATCTTAAATTTGTAGGGAAGTCATATATAAATGTCAAATCATTCTGGCTTAAATATGCATATAAATGTACTCTTTATCAGATGATATTGTCCCAAAGTTGGAACATTTCTATTTAAAAAAGAAAATCCTGTCTTAAAATCTGTGTTTTTTTTCCCTCGTTATTTTATGCAGGCCAATTAGTTGTATGTCAGCTTGAACATCTAAATTCGGCCAATCATATATCAACGGTCATCTGTCAATCAAATTGTTTGTTAGTTTTGATAAATATGGTGTAAAGATAAATAAAATCCCTACAATTTAGAATCTTACATGTGTGTAGGTAGGTGGATGTGTGTGTAGGTAGGCATGTGTGTGTGTGTGTGCATGTAAATATTGGTATGTAAATGGGTATGTATATGTATGTGGGTGTGAAAAAAATAAAAATAAAAATAAAAAAAATAATAAAAAAATAACAAATAACAACAAAACATAGATGTTAAACAGGAAGGTACTTTTAGGTTGCTTTCAGTGCAACTAGAGGGAGAAGGGGTATGAAAGATAAGTTATACTTCTTCATACCCCTTTTCAGACAATTTACAGTAAGAAATAATCAATGACAGACATTAGGGTAAATATAATGCTTGTGAATGGTAAACATTGTTTAGTGCATTTCTATTTATGTTCAAATTATTTAAATCGAATCGGAACAAGAAATTTAAATTAATGTTTACCATTCACTTTTTATGTGATACACATTTGTTAGTATTTATGAAATTGATTTAATCATTGTTATTATTTGATCATTTCTGAAATTGGAATTGTTTTATTTATTATTATTTGTTCTTTTGATTCATTTATATTTGTTAATTTTATTTATTTATTTTATTTTTTTTGTTACTAATATTATTGTCTGAAATAAATAAATATTCATTCATTCATTCATTCATTCATTCATTCATTCATTCATTCATTCATTCATTCATACAAAATGACTATAATGTTCAAAGGTTATAACATATTTATTGAAAGTTTAGCCGAAGGAGAAAATGTGGTCCAGCAGCAACAGCTTTGAAAGAACTGTTAAGCAAAAGTTTCACAGGGAGGGAGTTATTTATAAAATTTTAGTTTCCTCAGACTGTGAAAATATTTTTTACGTTTTTTAATTGCTTCTTATATATATTAAGGCCTTATTTATCCAAATTACAAAACTTGAATATAAGTTTTTTGTAGTTGTAATATATGAATGAAGTGTTCTTAAATGAGTAACAATTGATACTAAACCTTTTCATAACACTATCTTGTTAAGCTGTACTGTACATGGCTATAAAAGAAGATTTTATCTCTGGTGAGCCAGTACTGTATTGATTTAACCATAAGCTGTAGATCATCATCATCATCCCGTTGAATGGTCCCATAATCTCCAACGTAATTTTACGTTTTTAAAGAAAAAATCAGATTTTTCATAGTTTAGGACACAACGCCATGCACTTAACCAGGGCAGAAACAAGCCCACAGCCTCATAGATAACCCACCCTACTTAACCTTCCACATAAGGTCATGTTCCATCCTTCGTAAATCAATAAAACCCTAAACACTCAATCCTAGTATCATCTTTTATATTTAGTAGAGTTTTTCAAAGTACATTTGTTATCCTAGGAGACAGAAGGTGTTCTGATAATCCTTAGGAATTTCTTACCTTCTCTCACATCTTGTTTTCTGTCCTCATTGGCAGATTAGATATGGGTCCTTTACCAGCGTGGTTGACAAAAGCAAAAACAAATGGCGTGTTTTACATGCCATATTTAAAGTTCAGGAAAGTGGCGTGCAATGTTTAGGCAGAGGTTCCTAGAAACTGATAAATTATCAAAATAACCCCTTCAAAATTCTATCGTTTTATTTCTTTTCTGGGAACCAGTAATTGTGCCACCGGTGATTTGATTGACACATATTTCTCCACTTCACAAATGCATTTAATTTGAAGAGTACATTTTCTAGATTTGCCTATGCAGGGATTGTGCTGCTGCAATTGGATCAGAGTATAATTAATTCGTTTTTGACACACTCTCCACAACGTGGAATAAATGTTACCGGTTTTGCATTCAGTGTTGTGGTTTGACCCCTATCCCATTTCAGGTGTGCTCCAGAGAGTCTGAAGACCAGAACGTTCTCTCATGCTACAGATGCATGGATGTTTGGAGTCACTCTCTGGGAGATGTTCACGCATGGCCAGGAGCCGTGGCTGGGCCTTAATGGCAGCCAGGTACGAACTTGGATAATAAACCAGACAACCTTTTTTGAAATGCTTTTTAAACTCAAACAACTCATATTTACTGTTATCTTGTTTTTTTATGTTGATAAAAAAAAAAAAAAGATTCTCCATAAAATTGATAAAGAAGGCGAAAGGCTTCAGAAGCCAGAAGACTGTCCACAGGACATCTACAATGTTATGCTGCAGTGCTGGGCTCAGAAACCAGGCGACAGACCCACTTTTGTCAACCTGCGGGAGTTCCTACTTGAGGTAGGATGTCCTTCTGAGGAAGCTGAGTTTTCATCTAGTAAATGTTTACCTGATGTTAATCCCAACACTTTATAAATATAGAGACCAATTCCCATTTGCTCAAGTGAATCATGAGCTCCATCTAGTGGTGGTTGAGGGCAGCTTTTCCTAAGTGAGCTTGTAAAGGCGTCTTTCTGTGTGTCTCTTTCAGACCATGCCCACTGACATGTGCGCTCTACAGGACTTTGATGAACTTGACAAACTTCACATCAAAGTCAATGATGTCATCACCATCATAGAGGGGAGGTGGGTGAGGATGACTCTGCAGTGTTCAGTTGGCAAACTGGCAAACTCTATGATTCCTGACTAGTTGGTAGTTTCCTCACAAGTTTGTACGCTTTAGGGCTGAGAACTACTGGTGGCGAGGACAGAACAAGCGTACCCTTAAGGTGGGGCAGTTCCCCAGGAACGTGGTGACGTCCGTCGCGGGGTTGTCAGCGCATGACATCAGCAGACCTCTGAAGAACAGCTTCATCCACACAGGTCATGGAGACACAAACCCTCAGCGCTGCTGGGGCTTCCCTGATAGGATTGATGAGTAAGAAACAGCCTTTTCTTATGTCAAACTTCCAAAAGCCCTATTCTCTGAAATGATCATTTCTGTTCAGCAGATGGCGCTGCTGTGATATAAGAAAAACATCCATCTGGTGATTGAAACAGATTCTGCACTTAATGACTCTTTCTGGCTGTCTCTTTCTTTCAGCTTATACCTTGGGAATCCCATGGATCCTCCTGACGTCCTGGGATTGGACCTCAGTGCTGCTCGGCCCACTCAGCTGCCCGGACCAACTAAAAGTGGGTTTGGGTCACATTCTTTTGCCACGCTGAAGGATTTAGACGAGTAGGAAAAAATAGGATTTTGTTCTTTGAGAACTGTTTGGTTTACCGCAAACATGGCCATAAATCGGAGGTCTTCGACCTTCCCCCCTGCAAATTTGTCCACTAATTGAAACGTCTTTAAATCCACATTAACACGAATTCAACACACTGTAGCAAACATATAAATAGAGGCAGAAGATGTCTTTAGTAATCAATGCACTCATTCAGCGACACACAGGAGATCTTTCAAGCTGGGCACCTTTTCATTCACAACACCTGTCCCATCAACCGGGAATCAGAATAACAAATACTTTAATAATCCCAGGGTGAAATTACTTTCGTTACATTACTCAATCTGTAATAGAGTGACTATAGGACCAGTTTGATATAACACAATTTCATACAACATATATAATTGGGGGGGGGGTCCCTGCTCCATCTCGCCATTAGTTTGGGGGTCCTTAGCCTGGAAAATGTTGAAGACCCCTGCCATAAAGTATTCACAACCTTTTATAACAATTTACTAAATAAAAGCAATAAAGCTTAAGTTATTTTATTACTGATTTTATTTGACAAGTCATCCAAATTGTGAATTAAAATATGGAAACTAGGGTGTGCACTAATGGATTAGAAAAAAAAATTAAAACTAGGTTCACTCTTTGACTGGGCTGCTTCAAGACTTAGTTATGATTTAATTTAAATAGCTTCCATTTATTCTTAGTCTAGATTTTTAAGATTTATGTCTTGCTGCAGTTCTTGGAGGGAATTCCCATCAATTCAGCCAGCTTCCCTCCCAAAGAAAAGCATGATGATTTAACTACCATATTTCTTAGAGGACATGATGTCACATGGCATGATGTATCTTTGGTATGCTATGATGTGGTCTCTGGATCTCCTCCATTGTTACCATAGACACAGAGGCTGCTTCTGTGACTGCTCTCTCTCCTTAAACTGTCAGTTGAGGTCTGAGTTGGAAATGGTTCTTCTTTGGATAGAGTATAAACTGATTTTTTTTTTTTTTTGTATAGTTATGCCTTTAAATGTTCAGCCTCATTTTGCCAAATTTTATTTTACATTTAAAAAAACCCTAAAAATAAAAATGAAATACAGTAGTTTTTTTTAAATCCAACAATACATTTCCTTTAATAGATATGTATATTAAAAAAAATGTAATTGTTGCATGTTTGCCACTCTAAATTTTTTGTTGTATTAAGGGGAAATGGCACTTTGGATAAAGTATAAATTTATTTTTATTTTTTTGTATAGTTATGCATTTTTTTTTTTTTCATTTTTAATGGAATGATCTCTCCAAAAGAGGATAAGACTGAAAATGTTCAGCCTCATTTTGCAAAGTTTTATTTTACATTTTTATTTAAAAACCTAAAAATAAAAATGAAATAGTCGTTTTGTTTTTTTTATCCAACAATACATTTCCTTTCATAGATATTTATAAAAAAAAAATTTAAATTTTTACTCTAAATTTTTAGTTGTACTAAGGTGAAAAATGGCTCTTTGGAATATTTGGTTTTTAGAACCCTGGTTAAGGTGGATGGCTGCGCTTCATAGCATTTGTTTGGGCTTCAGTCTTTCTACTTTCAGATGTTTTTGTTCATTTTCAACGATCCGCCTTCAGTGTTCTATCCTATCCCAGCATTAAACTCCGTCCACAGCTTTCTCTCTCTATTCTCTTCATAAAACAGCTGCATTCATACTTTTATCAAACTGCACACAGGTGGGCTCTGTTTGCTAATTTGGGGACTCATGAGGGCAGTTTAAAAATCATTAATCATTTAAAACGCTCTTTGTATTCTCCCATCATATGACATGTTTGAATTTCCTCCCAAAATGAGCAGTTTGCCCTTTTAAAACCAAAGCTTTTAGGATTCAATTGAGACGTTTCAGCATTCCTAATATTTTCTTTGCTAGGTTTCCTCTGACCTAAAAAAACCCTCAGAATTCTTCTAAACCCTTGTTTTTTTTATTCTCTTGCTACCATTTCCCTATCTTTGTTTCTTCTTTGAGACTATTTTATTCTTGCAGAGGAGCCGCCCCCCCGCCCTCCCCAGCCAACAGTGTTAATCAAGAGTAAGTCAGGTCTCTCTCAGCAGCTTCTTACCCACTGTTCCTGTCTTCTCTGTTCCCTCTTTGCTCCACTCCTCAAAGGTACATTTCACTGTTTTTGTTTTTTTTAGCCTTCCTTTGTCAGGTTTGCAGTGCTTCTGTCCGCTCACAGTCTCTCCTTCCTAATATCATGTTCCATTTCTCTCCGACCCTCAGCTGGCATGCATCCTTGCTGTGCTTTAAGTGAAAGTTTTCTTCCGTTTGTCTCATATATATTTTGGTGTGAGGTGTTCTCTAAGTGGTATTGAAGTTGTTAATTCTGAAACATGATGCAGTAGAATAATGATTGGATTCTGTTTTTATCCTAAGAACCCTGCTATGATCCGGTAACTGAAGAGGAGGACTCCACATCAGCAGCGCTTAGGAGATTATCACTGAGGAAAACTGGCTCACTCAAAGGTCTCAAGCTAAAACCAGCTGCTTGGGTATCTGCAAACAAGCAGAGTGGCAGGACCACGAGCTCAGGCCACACTCCAAGCAGCGATGTGTCCCTCATTGACTTTGGGGAGGATTTCTCAGCCTCACCCTCCCCTTCACCTGTTGTTGAAAATCACAATCCTGTGCTGGCTAAGCTAATGTTGCAAGCGGGCAACATCTTGGACAAAACCCCGCCTGAAAGTCCGTCTAAATGGCTGCCGCGGCCACTTCACCCCACGCCTGTGGTAGACTGGGACGCCCGTCCCCTACCGCCACCTCCTGCCTATGATGATGTAGCTCAAGATGAAGATGACATGGAGGTACGGTAAAAACAAACGGCTTCCATGATTTCAATGAATGTAATCTGATAATAAAAATGAGAAGTTTGAGATGTCACTACCCAAACCGTACCACCCGTTTATTTACGCAGCTATTCATCCTATGGAAGCAAATCGTTACTATATTTTAAATGAAAAAGCATTTTCAGAAATGCTTTTTTTGGATTTATTTCTGTGGATAATCTCTTTCTGTGATCTGTCATTACAGTGGTCCTGCATGCATGTCTGAATTTTCATCTTTCTATTACCTGAACTTCAGAGCATCTTGCCTTCCCAGTCTGCTCTGGAGCTCTACACTGAAAATCTAGTTTGTATTTGCTCAACTATAGCTAATAAAGGTTACTAACTTTCACCTTGTTTTTTCCTTGAAGGTGAGCTCCATCAACAGCTTTGAGCAACAATCTGAATATGAGCAGACGGCTGTCCAGGGAGTCCAAGGAACCAACTCTTCAGAATTAATTGAAAGGGAAGTTCTCATCTTGGATGGAACAGAAAGACCAGTCCTGGAGGACAACCTTTTCCTTTCCGGCAAGCATGGCCACACTGCCTCCCCATCCTTCTCCCAATCTGCAGAGATCTTCCAAGAACTCCAGCAGGAGTGCATGAAGAAGCTCAACGTCCCGCTGGGGGGTGTTGGTCAGCTGTCCCAAATATCAGCCTTCTTTCCTCAGACTACTCGGAGCTCCCAGGAAGACCGTCAGAGCGAGGACAGACCTCAGATCCCCCCACGTGTTCCAATCCCCCCTCGCCCAATAAAAAGGGGCGACTACACATCTGCTCGCTGGTCGAGGGACCTGTCTGTTTCCCCGATGCCAACCGAACCCACGCACAGTGTTTCAACCCTCGAACCACCGCCCCAGATCCCACCCAGGGACCCTCTGTCACAACCGGGCTCCCGGACTCCAAGCCCAAACTGTGCCGTGGTGGGCTCCCTCCAGCAGAGGATCTGCTCCGTCAGCCCCTCCACCCACCAGGCCTTACACTCCCCCTGTTCCACGGCACACACCTACAGCTCCTACCTCTCAACCTCTCCTGGTAAACTCATGCCTACCACACACAGCTTTGCCTCAGACCCCAAATACGCTGCCCCCAAAGTGATCCAAGCCCAGGGTAAGGACAATGCTAGTAGGGGTCCTTGCATCCTGCCCATCGTCCGTGACGGGCAGAAAGTCAGTAGCACGCACTATTACCTCCTGCCAGAGAGGCCGCCTTACCTCGACCGCTTTGAGCGGTTCTTCAAAGAGGCTGAGACCGTCCCCGCTGCCGCTCCTGAGGACAGGCACCTGCGGCAAGCGAACATGGCAACTGTGAGACCAATGGTGGTCACAAACCAGACAGTTCAGGGGCAAGGGCTCGTCCAGCCGGGCGAACTGAAGGCTAATTTCTTCTGCCATAATAACGGCACACCGCGATCAGGGATGAAGACATCAGTTAGTCTCCCTCGCGTGTCTTCAGACGTGTTGACAGGTCCACTGGTCAACTCTCCCTGCAGCAGGACAGAGGAAGGAGGGAACTCTCTGGACAGAGTCCAAAGGGTATGCTCAGATTTTATGATCCTTTTTACCAGCTTGTTTCTCAAACACTTGATTCAAGTGTAAAGTTAGTATTTCATTTGTCTTTGTTCTTCATGTGCTTCCCTGTGATTGATGAGGTGTTTCTGTGCTGGGAGAAGGCTTTTTATAGCAGACCTTATGTTCAGATGAATTTTTCTGTGATTAATTGTTGTAAAGTAAGTCTCTGAGGCTGTCCTCAACCAGATAACCATCTGCTTTTTATCAACGTTTTAATGTTTAAAAAAGAACCTGCTCCTACACAAGAAGTCATTTATTAGTCAGGTTTTGAGTTGGACTAAAATATTAAGTAAAGTTAAATACAAAGAACAGGCCATATCTCATGTAGGGTTCTTTTGACCATTTTCTGAATTTTGTTAAACAAAAGAATTCAATGCAGGGTTTTATATTCTGCTATAACAAAAAAAATAAATAAATAAAAATAGGACAGTTTGCATTTTAAATTAAAAAGAATACTGCTTACTCTTTCTTACAGTTACTCTGACTTCCATTCATATTTTACATATGTTCTGTAAGTTTATATGATCATTGCCATATAAACTGGTTGAAGATGGCCATCATAGAAATTTGGCTTTACAAATCTTTGGCATCAATATATGACAATATGTATAGTGTTTTCTGGCTGCTTCATTCAATGAATCCAAACTATTTCTAATGTTGCTGCAAAAATAAATATAGGAAAGAAAAAAATGCAATTATAACTATGGCTAGGTGATATGTATTAAGAAAAATATTTTGACATTCTTATAGCTGAGTGGCAATATTCAATATTATCTTGATGTTTTTCTTATATAAAAAGCACTTCTGAATCAGCTTTGTCACAAATGTGACTTAGGCACATTTAAAAAAAATATTTTGGACATCTATAAAAGAAATGATTTAGTTAAATATTTGTCAAACTGTTGCTCAAATCTGTTGCTCAAATGAATAAATAAGTAAATAAACATCTGCAGATAAACACAAGAAACAAGTAACAAATAACCTTCTGGGGTCGATAAAAGGAATGTACAATAGATAATCTGGATATAAATGATATAGTATAATCCTAGATCTGTTTTGATAAAAAAAAAAATACATAAAAATTTCAACTCTTAATATATTGCCAAGGTTTAATTTTATTAATGCTATGAGCAACTTAATTTGTATATAATGAAAGTTTTTTAAAAAAGGACTTGCTGTTCTACCAATTTTAAGCTCTGTAGCTCTGCACTGCTAGTAATTACAAATCTTATTTTTAATTAGGTAATTTACCAAGCTAACTTTTAATCATCAACCCATCATGCTTAAAACTAAAGCACCCAGCTGCAGACCAGAGCAAAATCAGTTAGGTGACCTTAGTAGCAAATTAATATCAGCTTCTTGGACTCCATATAGTTACTCTGTGTTTTAGTGTAGTTGGATTCTATAACACTGGTATTTTTACTTGAGGTTTTCATACCCCAATAATGTCACCCAATGGCGTAACGACACAACAATAGGCTTGTAAACAACATTATCTCGGTTCAGGATACGGCAACAGTTTCATAAATCGGACAAGAAGAAACAATTAAGCAATTCTCAGTAGTATATGAACACATCGCACCCGGAAAAATGGTGACTGAGCACCTTGAATGGAACCATTGGTGACAGCGCACCACCACATGATACAGACATCCCAAGTTCCAAAAAACTAATTTCAGGTAGATGCCTACTGCACCATCACATCTGTAAAGAGACGTCCTCGTCTACAGTTGCGTAGGGGACCCACCAGATGTCAGTGATTGGGCCCCTAAGAGGTTGTGGGCCCGTAAACATCTGCTGTCTCTGCTTACCGATATTTACGCCATTGATCTCACGCATGTAGCAAGGAGTGAATAATCTGACTTTAGTTGGTTAATTAGTCTGGCTATCTGCTCTGTTATCTGTCAGCTGCTTGAGAAACATAGCATACGGGGGTTACTTATGGTGGTCTAAAGGTTAGCAAGCAGAGTTTGATTCCTAAGGAGGCTGGAAGCTCATTTAAAATCAACTACTGTTCTTGACCTCCATGGTCTTCATTTTTCAGATTATTATTATTATTTTTTCAATTATAAGTTGATTTTATTAATGACCATAGATGCATTTTCTTTATTCTGGAGGCAGGTGGAAAAAACCAAAGGCGCTCCATTGATCAAGCAGATATGGAGATCTTTGACGATACTACACCAGCTGTGCAGTGAGATTTTAGAACTATATGTAAAATACACAGCAGAGGAGATCAATGTGAGACACAGATGAACTCTAGGTGGTTCATCAATGTTTCTTTTTTGTTTAATTTTGGTGATTGTTGTCATCTATGGGTTTAACTCTAAACCTCTGGCTCCCCATCAAACAACTTCTTCACTGTTATGTTTCTAAAGTTTTTAGTTGATGTGAAATTCAGGCTGATATATTATTGGGACTTGTGGTGCTGCTCAGTGATCGGTGTAGATGCTCAGAGTGAGTCAGTTGTTGGTCTGAACATTTTTGTTAAATATTAATGCGATGTCAATACATTTGATTTCATCAAAAGGAGATGCACTGGTGTTAACACACACACAAAAAAATTAGACCTCAGAATGTTGGCTGTAGATGGACTTTCAAGCTGCTGCTGTTCAATTTCAGGTGCAGGAGGCTGTTCACGGCGTGACGATAGCAGAGTGTCAAACGGCCCTGCAGAACAACAACTGGGATGTCCAGAAAGCTGTGAATTATTTGAAGGTAAGAGCATTTAGTTTGCTGCAGTCTCTGCATAGAATTGTCCTGCTCTTGTGTTCCTCTCTGCAATTGTTTAGTAATGTAGATCAACTAATAGGAATATTTCTGACTCGGATTTCCATTTAAGAAACAATTATTAAACTGTTATGTTCTACATCAGTTAGCATATGTTGCATTACAGAAGCAACATTTTGTGTTCATTTCATAGACAATATTGATTCAAACAAGGTGTTACAAACTTTTCAAAATCCATGAGGGTCGCCTGGTCTTGGTCGCTTTACATTTCAGCTCCTTATTGCAGACACTGCTGTAATTCCAACCACGTGTCTATCATCAAATAGGAGGATTGTCTATTTGCTTAGGCTGGGCATACACTGTATGATATTTTCTATCGTTGTACTCAGCCAGAGCTCAAACTGTACGTTGAAACCACAGGGTTTATGTGTTCACAGCTCATGATGTATGTAGTTGCACTGTATGGCCCAACACCCTGATGCGACCTAACTGCTCACACTGTACGTCCAAAAACCACATGTCAGACTCAGTGCTGAGAGATGACGCTGGTTGGACTCATCAGTCCGAAAGGAAAAAGAACAGCTCCCATTTTTGCACATGCACAGTTAGTGATGTTCGGGTAAATTGGCGTGTAGCTCTGTTTCAACAGCAGGATTTGCTCACAAATACCCCACAAGGGCCGACTAGATTTCAGTCATTTGTAATTTTCTCCTGACCTTAGGATTCCTGATTGGGAGGTGGTCATGAGTGGCTAACCACCCCTCATCACCCCCTGTATACTACACATCGCAGGACTATAATGAGGCTGAAACTCTGCCCGATCAAAAAAATTCTTGCAAGACTGGAAAATTGGCCCAAAAAAGTGTACAGTTTATGCCCGGCCTTACCGGTGTTACAGCATATTCTGTGCTCCATGGGTCACAATACATGTTGAGGTACAAAATCTGGCTTTGGTTTTCTTTGCAACTCACCATGGCTGAGAGTGAGTCACTGCACTTTATGTGATATGGAAAGCCAGACAACAGGATCTGCATCCATGACTTGGTGTCATTAGCTTTTAACAAAATAATAAGTTTATCTCTCTTGTGCTGGTTAACCCCATGTCACAGCAACTAACACAATGTGAAATAAATGGAGAAGGTCAGATTTTTCAACTTCAGCAATATTTCTTTTTACTCTGTCTTTGTGTTGAACCTGCCTATATTTGCAAAAGAAATATATGCTTGAAACGTGTCATTTTTAATCCTTATTTAGTTACTCCTGAACCGACCATTTGACTGGATTAACATGAACATCTAATTCTATAGTTGCCACATTTTTGTTCGATCTGAACATTCCTTAACTTTCATCCTTCTTGTTATGTGCTTAATGTCTTGCTCTTACTAAAGCCGGGCATACACTGTTCGATTTTTGTTCAGTCGTTGCACACAGCTGTAGCTCACAGTTCACAGCTCACAGCTCACGATGCATGTGCCGCCCAACGCTCTGATCCGATGTACCTGCTCACACTACATGTCTAAAAAAACCACATCGGACAAAGCTCCGCAGTGAGATGGCATGACTGGGACTCATCTATCCGGAAGCCAAATGAGTAGAGGAGGAATATGAAGCCGACTAGAGTGAAACGTGCTGCCTTGGCAATTCGTGCAATTTTGTGCTGAAAGCCCTAAAAAGAAAAGGTAACGACGTATTTTGACAAAGATGTGGCTGGGCAAACATGGCTACTACTGTCTGTCAATGTTACAAACAGAACTCATTTCTGCATTTTTAAAATTTTTTTTTTCCTACTTGCTTTGATTCCGTTTTATTTTCCTATATTTTAATCATGTAAAACACTTTGCATTGTCTTTGTACTGAATTGTGCTATACAAATAAATTTGCCTTGCCTTGCCACTGAGCGATTTGCCCAAAACGGCCCACTGTATTTCAAACATGTTTAATTTTCTCCCGACCTTATGATTCCTGATCGGGAGGTGGTCGTGAGAGGCTGATCGCCCCTGGTTGCCCCCCTGTACACTAAACGATGCACGATGCATGATCAGGCTGAAAGTCGGCACGATTGAAAAATTGTCCCGAAAAGGGCAAAAAATCATACAGTGTAAGCCTGGCTTTATTCTCTGCTAATATTAATGAACTGCAGCCATTTACTAGACAAAAATGTTTGCTTTACAATGTTTTCTTACACCTGGAAACTTCCTCTGACTTATTTTGACTAATACTAAAAAAAAAATAACAAAAGTTAAGTATTATTCATTTATAAATTGTTTTTGATTCGAAGACTTCTGTTGTAGCATGTCCCTAAAGCAGTTACGTTAAATATTCTTACTGACTGGAAAGTGCTGATCAAACTGAATGTTGTATGATCTCTGTCACCAACCATTGTCCTGGTATATCACCATGTAGTTACCACAAATCTTTCGAGTTACAGAGGCTCATAAGTGTCAAAACACTATAAAATATAATAGACAAGATAATAAACCAGTTGAGTAGCTGATAAAAGGTTCAAAGTAAGTTTATGTTTTTCTTTTGCTTTCATCTCTTTATAAAATGCAATCTTTACCTCTTATCCCAGTTGGAAAAGAGACAAAGTCGATTCAACTCATTAACCTGTTTATTTTTCCTCCCTTTGGGTTTTCTGTTTTTTTGGGCGGGCTGTTGAACACTTAATCATTTATTGATCTGTGCTTTCCCAGGGCAATATTTTCAACTTTTCTTTATGGTTTTAATGAGAGAGGCAGCTCTAGACATGTCCAAGGTTATGATTGGTTCAAGCAATGCGTTAGGGAGTGTGTGTGATGGAGGGGAAAGAAAAAACAAATTTTTTCTGTTTGTGCATCAATAGCATATAAATGAGCTTGAAGGACAGTCCACACAAAAACTTTACTACAGTAACAATAAATAAAAATACTTTTTTAATGTTACTAGGAAAAACTTTGTAAGAAGAGCTGTCTTCTGACAATCGAAATGAGCTTCAAGCTTATTGGGATGATATGTTACTTACCGTCCTCAGTAGAAGAAAGAAGAGCAAACTTCACCCATCACTACTGAAGACTGCAAGGCAGTTACTTTCATACAAATGTCTTCATGGTAGATTTAATAGGTGTCACCCAAGACAGTGTTTCTAGATAATAGTGTGCAAGTGTGCACACTTATTTTCTCATAGTAGGAGCTTATGTGACACTATCGCTAACCTTCTAATAATTCATAGGGTTTATAGCCAGTTAAAACCAGTTAAAAATCAGTGGGGTATGACTAAAGAAAATCAACAACCAGTAGAGGTCCAGATATTTTTAATTATAATCCGTTACTTTTGAGCATTTAACACTGAAATAAAATGCAGAGAATAAAATGCATCCAAGCTATATATTGAACAGTTTAATAAAAATACAAAAAAAATAGAAAATGTTTCTATTTTAGATTTTATTTTAAATTGTTTTTGAAGTAGAGAACAACAATCTCTCAGTTTGGTGTATGGACAATTTCCTGATTCACTTTTTTTTTTATTTTTTTTTTATAAAACACCTGAACTGACCAAGCTTCTTTCTTTTTTTATGGCTTAATAAGAGCAGTGGGTTTTAGGCTGACCTGCAGGGCTTTAAAACCTGGGTTTGATTGTTGACAAAGCCATTCTAAAGCATATATCAAGGTGCTCATTTTGAGCCTGAATCGATATTTTTGATTATGTTCATAGAGGAAAATTCTTCACAGCAGTAGGTTGAGCCAAACATATTCAAACTGTGCAGCGTCATCTTTGAGCACACCATTTCACTTTTCTTTCACCAGTTCTCTGCAAATTCTTCCAGGAGTCTACACTTTCTCTGCTCTCTTTTACTCATTATCTTCTTCTTCTTTCCCATTGCCCAGCTTGGGCAGTGTGATATGTTATTTAAAAGCTAGCGCCTGCTAGTTTCTTAATAAATGAATGAAAATTGGTTGAGTAAAACACCCAAGCTGCATCAGTTCAAACATCACTCAAAGTAGGTTTTTTATTTTCGAAAATAGTCTTTTTTTGAACAGCAGTAATAAAGACATGCTTGCTTGTTGTGGCTGCTTTGTCATGGTACATTTCGACATGCTGCTATAATTGTGCTTTGGTGCTCGCTATGTCCATAAAACGAACTAGATGGTTGAATTGTGGAGAATCTAAGCTTTCCAACAATGTCCCACATGTCTATATTGGTAAACATTTTACCAGTGTAATTGTCATGCATCCTGAGTTACTATTTGTAAGCGCAGTAAAACAGGTTTTGAGAGGTTAAAGTAGCTAGCGGTAGCAACCCAGACTGACACAGCTTATTGGCTAATTTGTATCACGTACAGCCTGGTGCCGGACGCTCCGGATGGCTTTACCATACAAACAGGGGAAGTGGCACAATTGAATTTAGACAATATTGTCAGACAACATGCAGTAACTTAAAAATATTTAAAATCAGTTTGGGTCCGGATTAGCCTAGAGGTGGGTCCGGATCTGGACATGGAGGCATAAACACCTAATTTTATTTCAGTGTTAAATTCGGTTTAAAGTAACAGATTATAACTACAATGTCTCCAGAACTTTACTGGTTGTTGATTTTCTTTAATCTGACCCCTCTGATTTTTAATTAGTTACCCCTGATATAAAGTTAGAAATGGAAGAGATTTTGGTGCTTTGCACTTTGGATGAGGTAAACTAAGGGTTAAATGTTCAAAATAGTTGTAACTATTATCTGGCTTTGGAGCAGCCCAGAATTTCTGGGTTTGTGAAAATTTGAATAACTAGAAGGAGCTGCCTTATTTATGCTCTTTTTCTGCAGCCAAGTTACTGTAAGGGACCATAAATCAATTGGATTATCACAAATCAAGTCATTAACTAGCAGACTTTTTAAAGAAAGATAAATTATATCAAAAAACAATTTAATAGTTTGAACTAATTGGAATTACTATAATTTTAGTTAGCTTATCATGATTTACTACTATAGGATCCTTCTCTAATTTATTTAATTTTGGTCATGGGCAAGACACTGTCTGGATGGAGTAATGAGTGGGTAACAGTAGAGAAGCTGCAAAGACGTGTTAAACTACAACTCTATTCCACCCTGGGATGTCAGGGTTTTGGAGGATTAATAAATCTGTCCAGATTCCTAGAAAGAAGAGCTGCACCATCCAAAGTGTGATGGCTGCCGTCTCTCCGAATCAGACCAGGTTTTCCCCAAAAAAGATAGCCAATTTACTATATAAAAATATGCTTAAAGTTGCTGTAGTTATTAAAATTAAGTTTTGTTCATTGTTGGAGTTACTATAAGAAAAGAAAGAAATAAATGTTATGATAAGGTTAGCAACACAAATTTGTGTTTGTGAGCATTAACTTTAGTTTTTTTTTTACTCTAATTGAAATGAAGGATAAGAGCAAACTTGAGTAGTGAGGCCTGCCTGATAAGGAAGCTGTAGTGAGACCTCAGCTCAAATGAATATCTGCAAACCTTAACGAACTGAAAAAAAATGTTATAAAGAAGAGTGGAGCCAATTGTTCACCACAGGGAAGAGAGGGATTGATAATTCATGCAGAAAATAATTACTTCAGGTTATTTCTGCGGCTAAACTTGGTTTTGGCTGCCATTGAATCATCTGGTGGAGTATCTTCTGTGACTATTGGAAGTGATAGAAAAGGTTTTTCTGTTATGGCAAGATTGTAAACTATGTTAAGGGACTATTGGATATCTGCAGTTTAGTGCAGTTTTTATTTTTATTTTGTCACTATCACTTTTTTTGTGAATGATGCAAATAAAATTCCAAAACTTGTCAGAAATATCATTATTTTATTATTTATTTAAAATGTTGCATCTTTGTTCATCAGACACACAGACTATGAACCAATTTTACTTTTGCAGTCGAAAGCAAATATTTACATTCACTATATTAAATGGTAAATGGCATGTACTTATATAGCGCCTTTATTCAAGTCAGGAGACTTGACCAAAGCGCTTTACACTACATTCATTCACCCATTCACACATACACTCACACACTGATTGTGTGTATGGTATTAAAGGTATAGAGGTATAGACCATGTTAGAAACACCTTAGTGTTCCTAACATGGTCTTTGTTAAGAACACCCAAATAGAGAGGTTATTTCATAGGATTAAGAGCGGAAAACCTTTGGATGTATTTTTAAGACCTCTCAAAAACATCAGGTCCTTTTATGAAATCGTGAAAAAATCCGTTATTAGCACACAGAAGAACATAAAATTATCTTGGTCCAGATTCCAAAAGCCTAAAGGTTTGTCATGTCATTTATTTTAAACTAACGAATTATAGCAATAGGTATTTAGCTTTTATTTTCTACTGGGGTTTAAAACAATGCTCTACTGTATATTTCTGACCATTTACCATTTACCATATCAAGTATAATTGTTGTTACCTTTAAAATTGGTGTTAAAAAAGGCAGCAGTTCTACATTTTACTCCATTTTTATTTATATACTTTTTTACAATTTTAAAGTTTTATTGTGGATAAAACTGCAAAAAGGACAAGCTACAAGAATATTTCTGCTTGTATGGCAGTTCGGCCCTCCCCGAAAAGGCGATACTGTGTAGAACCAACTTTTGGTCATTCCAGCTGCGGATGGCTTTGATCAGTCTCTATGCTCCATGTCTTCTCAGCAGGCCTTTTGCTCTTTACTGCTCCAGCTTCCTCATATTGAATGCTTTTGGATTTTGAACACCATATACCTCTAACTACAGATTCTCTTTTTGTCTCAGGTCTGGACTTTAACTAGGCCACTCCAACATGTTTAATCGTTCCCATTAAACCAGTATGCTTCGGGTCATTGTCCTGCTGGAGGATGCACCTCCATCCTAGTATCAAATCACAGGCAAACTGAAACAAGTTTTGATCATCAGTTTCCCTCCATTTAGCACCCTCTATTATTAGCTGTCTGGTCCCTCCCACCCCTCAAGCATGAGGCTGCCACCACCATGTTTTACTGTGGGGATGAGGTTCTTAGGATGATGGGATGTTGGTGTCGGTCAGACAGTTTTCTGTGGTGTACAAAAAAGTCTAACTTTTGCACAGTTCAGAACCCCCTCCTCCATACATTTAGATTGTCATCCACATATGTTATGGTGAATTTAAAAAAGGCCTTATTATTTTCAGCACTAAGACTTTTTTCTGGTCACTCTTCCATAAGCCCCAGGTTAAAAGGAATGTGCAGCTTATTGTGGTCCTACAGTATAGACAGATCCCCCAGTCTGTACTGTGGAACTCTGCAGCCCCTTAGGGCTACCTTTTGTCTCTGTGCTGCATATCTCATAAATGCCCTCCTCAAACAGTCTGTGAGTTTTTTGAGACAGCCAAAGGCCGAGCGGTCAATCCGTAGGATTCCCAGGGGGGCGCTTCATTGATCGACTCGCCGGTACCAAGGAAAGTAAATGACAGTAGAACCTTGGTGCTACTTGCTCTAAATCAATCTGTCTCTTTAAGAGACTGAAATGGCAATTTGGGAGTAAACATTTGACAAGAAAGTCCTCTGAATAGCTTACAGTAGACCCCCCCCCCCCCATAGCACAGCTTCTCCCTATCAAAGGTGCAGAATGGAGAATATAGGCAAGGTGTTGATCAGCAAGCAAAAATTAAGAGAAACAGACTAGGAGGGGTTGAAGAAATATGGCAAAAAAATAAAGAAAGGGGTTAGTGGAAGATGCAGCCATACGTGCTTATCTCACAGATACTTTTCAAGAACACGGACAATGCTAGCTTAATCATAAAACTAGTGTAATAAAAAAGATAAAGAATTACAGTATTCATGTCTAATGACTGAGACAAGGTATCAATTAAGACTACATTATGTAGTGCTCTACTGCGGCGCTTATAGTAGTAGTAGTATTGGTGCTGTACACTGCTATTAGTTTGGTTTTTCTGGGGGTTTTTTTATGTCAAAATGTTGAGTTGAACTTTATTTTTTAAAATAACGCAGTGGATTTTTTTCTTCGACTCAAAATTTTTTATGTTACATTGTTTTTCTACTTCTAATTATTTGCACCATGTACTGAAAAAAAACTATCTAGAAATAAGTAAAAATGTCTTAAATTAAGTGTATTTCTCCTGAATTTAAGTAGGTAAATGTCATAGTTTGCCAATGGAGTGAGTATTTTTACTCTTAAAATAAGATAATTAGATAATGTGCACTTGAAATAAGACCATGCAATTTTGTTTTCTTATTCTAAGTGTAAATTATCTTGTTCCATTGGCAAAATGTCTCTTTTACCTCCTCAATCAAAGAACAAATGCACTTATTTAAAGAAAAAATGACTTATCTAGATTTCGATTTTTTTCCAGTGTGACCATAAAGAACTGACAATATTAAATTTGTTTTTGCCATGTTATTTTATATTTGAAAGACTGAGCCAGTCTTTTCCCTTTAACTACCAGGCTGAAAAGATTTCCCTCTCCACTCCTTAGAACATCCCTCTCTTGGTGGATTTGTTGTGGAACCAATCAATCTGAAGATGATGCATCAAATGGTTATGATCCTACCCTGACTTGTGTTTCTTCATAGTTTTGTCTCACTTGTTTGAAGAGCTCCTTGGTCCTCATGGTTTGAGGCCTCTTGACTAGTGCTCCTGAAACTTTTGCGCAGGTGTGTTTATACAGATAGATCACATGACACAGGTCAGGTTGACTTTATTTAATCAGCACTGTGACTTTTAAAGGTCATTGCTTTTAGCAGATTTGTCAGAGCTCATAATATTCATAATTTACTTCTTTAACTTCACCAAATCAGTCTATTATGTACAGATTTGGTACATTGCTGAAAATTGAAAACCAGGTTAGAATAAAAGACAATGGGTAAAAAGTAAAAGAGCTTAAATATTTTTGAAAGTCACTGTGGTCGACTTTGGGAGTTGAGTACGACGACTCTTTAGGATGGTGACTAGTTGGTTTCCCCAGAGATGAGATGTTTTATTAAATAATGTGTGCATCAAACTCTGAACAAAGGTAAAAGATATGGCAAATATGCCATGAAGCTGGAACAACAATGCGAAACGAGTAGTGTATTGACTGAATGGGCTGAAAGCGGAATCGGAGAGGAAGGAGCCTGAATTACTTTGCACATTTACTCAGGTTGTTTTAAAACTAGTAAGAAAAAAATATTTCTGTTTTTTCTGCCTCTCTGCAGGTGGAGCAGTTGTTCTGTTTGGGTCTGAGGAGCAGGTCCGAATGCCTAAAGCTGCTGGAGATGTGTGACTGGAACTTGGAGGAGGCCTGCACTCAGATTTTACAAGATTATGGATCCAAAACTAGACAAAGGTGACAATTCTAAATAGTTTTTTTCATTTTCTTTTGGTAAAATGTCGAATATTTGGACTTCTAAGTAAATCTTAACTGACACATGACCTCCAATCTAGATTATCTACAGTAGCAGCCATTCAAAATGTCCCTTCCCAGTCAAACGCCAGCCAAATGACAGCACACTTCCCTTCAACCCCCAGAGAAATCCCCTCAAACTTCCAGCCACTGGAGTGACCCCCTCTTGCATACTTTTTTTACTCTGACTCCACCCTTTCACTGAATTACAGGGTCTGATCAGGAGATGACGTGTCTGTTTAGATCTTAATGCTCACAAATCATGACAGAAAGAATATTTAATACAAATATTGATGTTTAAAAAGGAATTGAAGGGGATTAGCCAAAGATCAGCCAAGGGCCTATCAAGGAAAGGGGGGAAATTTTGAATGGCTACTACTGTAATTATTACATAGACATAAAAATGTTGCTGTAATGGTAATGTCATTTGAATATTTAAGAAACTTCTGAATCTTTATTTATGGTTTATTCTGCTGTCGCAACGCTTGTTTTGCTATACCGTTGCTAAAAAAAATGCAATGTACCTCTTAGCTGAGTTGCTTCAGGTTCTAGTTACAATTCTTTTTTGCTTTCCACATCTACATAGCATTGTCAGGCAGAAACATGATGCAATGTTACTGTGACTGTTGTGTTCTGTTAATGAGGCTCAAGCTCATATCTGGCTGGCATGCAGAAATCTTAAAAGAAATTGTAAAAGTTTGTATTTTTTCCGTATTTTGATTTCTATTATCTGGTAAACTGCTCTGTTTTAACAGTGCTATAATTAGAGAGGGCGTCTGAGTGTGTGTTCTTGGGCAGCAGTGTAATGTAGAAACAGAACCAGTGTAAACTGGAGGATGTAGTCGGTAATAAGCTCACTCATCATTGGTCTTATTGCTTTGAAACAACCGGGCCAATTACAGTGATGCATGATGACAGCGGCGGCACACATTGAGTGAGGCCTCAGCTGTGCCCTGTCTGGTCTTCTAAAGGGAGCAGCACAACCTGCAAAGGCAAACATTGTGACTGGGTTTCTGTTTCACTTGCATACGTTGTCTTACAAACCTAGTGTCTTCTGAAAACTTCTCCTCATAAAGTCATGGCACAGCCTCAGAATGCTTAGAGCAGTACATTTTAACTGTCAGAGTGAGTTCTTGCCATTTTTTCTTTGCATAAAAGCTGTACAACATTAATTTGAAATTTCTAGTTCTCATTTTGATTTGGTCTGGCCTTTGTTTAATTCCTTCTAAGACATGGTTTCACTTTGATCCAAACACGTAATTGTTGCACTGGCTCTATGTTTTGTTTCATTCTCCTGTTAGAAGGTAAACCTCGTCTGAAATCCAAGTCTTAATTCTTTGCAACAGCTACTTTTTGTCCTTCAAGGCAAAGTATGCATTTTATTTAGCTTCATTAACCGTATCATTAGCTCTGGCCCCCTTTTTCTCTTGTCTTCCCCACAGCATGATGCTGCCATTACAGTTTCACAGCAGGAATTACAGTTTCACAGCAGGAATCAGGATGATGTGTAGTTTTTGTCTTTAACTTCACATAACATTTTGTTAGAGAGTGAAAAGTTCAGTTTTATTCTTATCTAATAAACAGTAAGCAACTTGCAGCTCTCCCACAAAGCCATTAAGATCTGTGAGGTGCAGAACTTATACTGTTCTCACTAGAGCTGCGGATCTCTGTAGCTCCTCCAAAGTAATCTTGGGTCTCCTGGCTGCTTCACATTAATAACTTCTTTGCCCCGCCTGTTAGTTCAGGTTAACATATCTTGGTAGTCATGTCTTATTTGTTTTATTTTTAGAAGATAGATTAAGCACCGTTAAGAAAAGATTAAGAAGCCCATCCCTTCCTTATGCTGTCTGCTAGATTATTTATTCTTCTTGCTGTTGGTTGTTTTCTAATCATAAAAATCTTACACCAATTTAATAATTTTCATCTATTGTCTCGTATTGATCCATCATATTGAATCGTAATCAAATATTTGTGTCGTTTATTGTTATCAGTAATTATAAAGACGCTATCTTTAACAACTCCAAAAATAAGTGAATTATGAAAAAAAAATTTCTATCCCTCTACTTTTTAATCTAATTTTTTTCTCATTGGAGGATTGACAGATTGGAAGATTAGATATATAGTGTTACTGTGGGATATTTAGTTTTATAAATTGTTCTTCTTCATGTAAATGGTGTTGAGAAGAGACCTGTTTTTAAATATGTATATTTTTAAGAGCAGTGTTGCTGACATTTACTTATGAAAGTGCTTAAAGAGTCACGAGGAGTCTTTTTTTTCTAAATCATTTTTATCGTCATCACGATGGTACCACTAAATATCCTGATAAGTTTTCGCCATATCCCCAAGCTCTACTCTAAAGTTTATATAAGATGCCTGAAGACTTTTGCAAGGCAAAATGTTTTTTTCCTTTCAATGCATCTGTTTAATGCAACAAAATAAAAGACTTTAGTATTTTGTTCAGAATATATATCTGGGTAAATGTCAATTGCTGCCAGTTTAGGATCAGAAGCAAATAAAATTCCCGGTGAAAGCTCAGCAGATACTGATTACCCTGTATGTAAATAAATCATCTTCATTGACCTCTCCACAGTCAGTAGATCTGTTTAATTCCTGGGTGAATAAGTGTGCATTGACCCGTCTAAAAGTGAGAATCCATTGTCCAAATCAGTTCCATGCCGGTAGAGACGTATATTGAACGGTTGGAACCGACTAAAAACAGCACGGCAGGATGATTTCAGAGGGACGTGGCCTCACATGCCATTTAATGCCACATGCAATGGCCAAGGCAGCTTCGATGGATAGCTGCTTAATGCTGCTTCCATCAGCCTACTGAGGCCCTACATAGCTGGTGTTAAAGTTTTAATTTTTTTATGCCTTAAGTTTTTTTTCTGATTAAACAACAGAAAGCAGTGCAAAGATGAAGGAAAGCTTACATGTTCTTTTCTTACAAACAGAACGTTTACATTCAGTATTCATTTATAAACCAGCAGTCAGGTCAGGCAGATTTTGTTTTATTTTTATTCAAAATGTATTTTCAAAATTGAAAATTAATCAAGATATGTTGATTTTGCTTAATTGACAAGCAATGTAATAGCAGAATTGGTCAGAAAAACAACACTGAGGTTTGATGTAACTCTTGAGAAACTACAGACAGCTGATGTTTTGGTTGAAGATCCATCAACAGAACAGTTGGTCGTTGCACATCTGGCATTTAGGAGAGTGAAAAAGAAAGCATTTGTAGAAAGAACCTCAAAAATGTTTTCCATAAGCTGCTCAATGGAGACAGCAGAAGAATTTGAAAATAGCTCTAATTAGATGTGAACATTTTTGGAGAGTCCAGTAAAAGAAAACCTCTTTGGTGGAGCAATATCCACAGCTGTGTTTGGAAAGCTTTTAGTTTTTGTTTGTTTTTTTGCAAAGAACTAAGTTGTGTATTGAGTAGTTTTGAAAGAAATAGACTATTAAACAATTGAGGCCTACACCAAGGGTTACCTTCTAGCTGGAGATTAACCATAAACATAGAACCAGCATAATGGTTTCCACGGGGTTGTCCATCTTAATTCCTCAATAACTAAGATGAGTTTTTCCTCTCTACTGTCGCTACAAGCATGCTTAGTGTGAGGGATTGCCTTTGAGTCAATGAGTCGATGCAATCAACTGGTTTTCCTTAGAAAACTTTTAATCAATTTGACTGGATGATCCGGTTGAATTGTAAAGTGCCTTAAGATGACATGTTGTGAATTGGCGCTATAGAAATAAACTACATTGAAATTGAATTGAGCTATTGTCTGGTAGTTTTCTCATTTGCTCCTGATCCATTAGAGGTGACCTAATGGTATCTCTTCAGAAAGATCCAATTTAGTGTATAGTTTCCTAGATCTTAACCATTCTTTTGACAGTTTAGTGTTGAGGAGGAACTTATTGGACTGAAGACTAGAGCTGGAAAAAGGGATTTAGATGAAAGCTATTTTAGAATGGTCAAATCAAAGTCCAAATTGAAATCTAATTAAGGAACTATGGTGAGAAGTAAAAATTACTACCCAGATGCTCAGGTTTTAGTCTGTTTTTTTTTAAATAAAGATCAAGAAAGGATTTCAGTGTCTGACTGTCCAAAGCAAGGAGAGACCAGCAGGGTTGCATCTTATTTATACGAAATTGGGATTGAAAGTTTTAAAGGTCTCATCTGACCTTTAAAAAATGCAAATATCCAGGAAAACCAGATAGACGTCATTGAAGGTTATTACACAGGCTGTGACATTTCACTTCATAAAGACCCCAATCTCATATTAAGCTTCTTTATATTTGCAGATGATGACAGGAATCTGATGGGAGTGAGCTTCGATTGGACTTTCATGGTGAGCAAATCAGCATTCAGAAGATTTCGGAGTCAAGAGCAGAAGAGGACAGCACAAACAGCTGAACTTAATATGATCATATTGGTCATAACCAAGGACACCGAAATGGAAAACAAAAGAAAAGTCTTTTTGTCGTGGTTTGACTTTCATGTGAAGGTTATGTTTTCGTTGCACTTAGTTACGGAGACCTTGTATCTGACCGTCTGGCAGACAGGGAGAAAATGACTGAAAGAAAGATGCCCTTCTTAACTAAAATGATTTGCTTAAAAAAAAAGGAAAGAAAAATGGTGTAATAATGTTCTCAGAGCGCAGAGTCAGCACAAAGTCCTGCACCGTGCAATGTGCATACATTTCATCAAAGGTGAGCATCATCTGCTGGCAGCTGGATCACCACATCTACGGAGTTGTTTTGAAAAAAGCACAATAAACCAACTGTTTAATTGGCTGGTGTGGCAGTATTGTAGGGGAAATATCTAATTTAGTCTGTTTTTAAGTGGGGAAAAGATGTTTTTGAGAGTTATGTGCTGCTAAAAGTTGAGAAGGATTGCAGTTACAAAGAGAGAAAACCTCAGAAGCAAGGCAATCGTAATGCAGTGCTTCGCTCTCTGTGCTTAGAAGCACAAATGAAACCAGGCTTACAGGAAATAATGACTAACTTAAAAAAAACAAAACACCAAACTGTTGTAAAAAGAGGATAAATTGAAAGGATAAACAATTTTTCTATGAGGAGAGGTACATACTGTCAGTACAGACTGTAATTGGATTTCTTTTTCCAAAAGGATTGTATAATACAGGTTTTGTGACTGTCTGAAAAACCCACTATAAGTCATGCACTTTGTGAAATATTGACGAAAACCGCAGGTACAACCTCTCCTTACTTCTTCACAGTAAGCACTTTGCCCTCAGAGAACTCCTATGCATCAGCTGAAAACTTCAATCAGTGCCGTTTTCTGCATTCAACCAGACCATGTTGGCAGCTAATAACAGCAAAGAAGTGAAATTTTGCTTCATAATCATCACTTCCTCCCAGTGCCGTGATCCTTTCAGTCTGCAGCATTATGGGGAACTCATTTCCTTCTGGAAGGACAAGATGGCGCACTGTGGGTTGTGACAAAAGCCTTGTTCCCCGTCTACATTATCAATGTGGATAGAAATTTCCTATTACAGAAAAAACTGCTGAAGTTTGGGCTAAAAATAATGGATGGATAAGAAAACGCCTTCCTTATAATTAAACTAAAACAGGATATTTTTCAAATTGTTAGATGAGGTCCTTTTAAAAAGTTTTAAGTAGTTCATCTTAACTACAGTAAATGCATATTTTTTTGTATTTATTTGCTATATTATTTAGATTAATGGGTTCAGTAGGGCATGTCTGGGTGAGAGTGAGATCAAAGTAGGCGTCTATCATTGATAAACAGCTCATGACAAAACATTTATTCTAATGTTCTTTAATGAACCCCTAAAACTGTGTTCGATTTAGGCCATTATTCATGCACAATTCAATCACTGTTGTTTTTGGAAATAAAGGGGGGAGGAGTCTGCTGCCGAAGATCTTCTGAGTGAAACATGAACATTTTGCTCGGATAAATATTTTAGAAAAAAAAGACTGGACGACTATTAAGAAAATAGCTTTTGTTCATTCAAGTCTTTGCTTTATACACCTTTTTTTTTTTTTTAACCAGTCACCCAGCTGCAGACCCATTGCCTGTTCATGCGCTGTTTGTTTTCACACCAAGCTGCTGAAGATTTGGACTGAAGTGAACCTTGTGATGTTTTGAATTCTCAAAAAGCCGTCTCCTATTAATGTGTCAGCAGACGGATTATTTCAGTGTAGATTCTTGTTTTATTCCTCCCACCAGATTTATTTCTGCTGAAGTGTTTTATTTAAGTCATTTATCTTAATTCTGCTGTTTTTCCTCCAACATGTCATCTCTCTGTGTTTTGTGTTTCCGTGTAGATCTGAAAGCCTACTGTAAAGTTGGTCTCCATTGTTTCTCTGTTTTTCATGATAATGGAAGCGAAGTTGCCGAATTTATAGATGTATTTTTTATTAAACAAAAGAGTAACTTTTTTAATTTATTTGTGTTTTACTTTTCTCTTTAACTCCACAAAATGCTCATGAAAATCCCTATCATCATTTAGCTTTAACAAACTTTGCCTGTTCGTATGAATAAGTCAGACTCAATCTAATTTCAATTCAGCCACAGTTTTTTTTTTTTGCTTTGGAAATATAATGCAGCACAAACTTATTCAGTCAAAATGCATTTGAAGTTGTTTATGCACACAATAATTAAGGAAAGTGCATTTCTGTGAGATAAATGGTGGTTTGGGCTCAATCTGTACTTATATACTGCAGACCTCAAAGTTGGGTAACTTTCAGCAACTATTGGTAGCTGCATGAATGTTGTTGGGGAGAGTAAAAAAATATTTAAATGCCTCATTATATTTGGGCACAAGTAAGAAGTTGTCATCCAAAGGAAGAAAGAATACTTGTCTAAGGATACAGGTTTGTTTAGTGTAATTTTAACACTTCTCTCATTGGGGGCAGACAATTATTGATGAATATGGCAGACTCCTAGAACCCAGTGCTGCTTATTTGGATTAATTTCTTTATAAAACAAACATTTTATAGAACAAAGAAAATGGGAAGGAAAGGAGAGGCTGAAGAGGATAAGGATGAACAGTCTGGTAAGAAACAGCCATAAAAAAGTAAAATAATGAATAGAGAAAACACATTTCTATAAAACATAGTTTTGTAACAATGAAAGCAATTACAATTATATCAGAAATGCTGAAGAGTAAAAGGACAACCTACCATAGCAGAGGCAGCCAAAGGTTGTTGAAGAGCCGGGGCAGAATTTGAATTTAGGCCCCCAACTTCCAGGTTAGAGTTCTCATACCTGTTAACTCTAAAATGTGTGGCACACAGGTACAGTATTCAATAATCGGCAACATCAGGAAAGGTTTTAAAAAATATATTTATTTGTTAAAATTTAGACGGCTGCTTCAATTGGCACCAAAATGTAATTTTGAACATTTTCTGTAACCTTAGACAAGCTGTGCTCTTTAAATAATTTTTTTTTTTCCATTTAGGACATTTTTAACCTTATTTTATCAGCTGGTAATAAGAAAAAAAAAAGGTTACACTTTTAAAGACTTTCCATACCTCAGCAACTTGCTTAAATTAGATTAGCTTAGGTTTCTGCTTTTGGCTAACAAATAAAAAGGGGTTTTTGGAGTGAAAAACAGGAGGATTATATGATACAGAGCACCTTTATGCCCTCTGCTGAATATGGTTGAGGTTCTTTGATGCTGTGGGCCTGTGTCCCTTCTAGATTCAATTAAAAACCTGTTTTCATGAACTTTCTAAACTGGAAATAATAAATAATAAGAAGGAAAAGATAAATATGGCGAACTGTACCAATTAACCGAGAAAGGGTTGCCATTGGGTAATTGAATTGGATGATGAAAATGTGGGGCTCAATAAACATAGACAAAAGAGCCTTCCTCCATGGCCATCTCAGTTTTCTAATTCAGGCATCCCCAAAGTTGGTCCTCAAGGACCGCTGTCCTGCAGGTTTAAGAGGTTTCCCTGCTTTAGCACAGCTGATTATAATTATTGCAGTAGACCAAAAGCCTGTTAATCAGCTTTCAATTAAAATCAGCTGTGCTGGAGCAAGGAAACCTCTAAAACCTGCAGGACAGTGGCCCTTGAGGACCGAGTTTGGGGATGCCTGTTCTAAATAACACAAAAGAGATCCAGGTCTTTGGACCAGGTCTTTGGACCATTTAGTGAGCTACATACTGTATGCCTTTTGGAATGATCAAAGATCTGCCCCTTCTTTAGTTGGTAGTAAAGTGTTTTTTTATGATCTAAAATTTAAAGTTGAATTTTACAAATCTCTGCCACAATAAAATATCATTCACTTCACCTCAAAAATGATTTAGATTTTTCAGCAAGGATATTGGTCACATCGCACAAAATCACAATTGAAGACGCTGAAGTTTGATGTTAGAGGGTTTAATTCTCATCACCTTGTGGGGAAAAATGAAATGACCAAAAAACAAACTCCATCTGAAATTCTACACAAAGAAAGTACATCAAGATCCCTAAAATCCAATTTCAGGAAAACAGACAAACTTTCCTTTAATAAACTTGAGGTGAACCTGCCTGATAATGGACCTTTGTTTATTTGCAAACTGCGAACTGGAAGTATCTCTTAGCGCTAACATTTTCAAACAATAACAGGAAATAAAGAACGGATTGTTCATCTAGAACAGTCATAATTGGCCCATCTCCTTTTCTTGGTAACATTTTAATAATTTCAAAATTATTTGAATACATGAACTTTATAAGATCTAGTCTATTCTTAACAATACCTTAAGGGAAACAAGTCCACATTGATTTAAGAAAGAAACCACAAGTAGATGTAAAATAGAAGTAAAGCTTTGCACTATTCTGTGAGTAAAGAGCTGTTTAGAGTCTTCTTAAACAGTCCGTAAAGACCGGGTCAGTGTGTGTTAAGCAGATCAATCAGAATCAGATAGGACCACCTTTATATTTACAATCATTGACACTCCAGCAACGTGTGGCCTTGAGAAAACAACCCCCTCCCTCCCAAGTCTAGCATCGTGCTGACTGCCATCGATCCCGCCCGCTATGGTTATCCATCGACCTTCAGGTGCTTCACTGGCAGTTGGCCACAGCAGGGCTGTAAAACGTTTCCAAAGAAGTTCAGATCCAGATGCAGGTCTAATGGGCTCTTCTGCTCATCCATGAGCTGGCGATTAAACGCCTCTCGCTTCATAAACCCTGAAAACGATTCTAGAATAAAACCTGGCAAGGAGCTGGGACCTCCAGAGAGAAACCGCTGAACCCTCAAAACTCTCCAATTCAAGTCAGTTTTGATTCTCTTCTATCCCTCATCAATTCCCATTCCCCTTTCCTCTTCTAAACACAACTTTACAATGAAAAACAAGGAACTCCTGCTTACTAATGAGAGACCCTGCTGAGCTTCCATTGATCT